AAGGTGCAATAAAATTAAACATGTCAGAAAAATTAAAATACAAATTTGGTCATTATAACGAAAATTAATTAGCAAAATACTTATAATGACAGAAGTCATAAACTTAAAAACTGGCGTTCTGGCCTGTGTTGCTGATTGTAAAAATACATGCTTGAAAACGAGATCCATTGTGACAAATCGATTTAGAGTTGAGGAAAATACAGAAAAGCTTGTGCGCTCATAAGTATGCTAAGGAATGCAGAAGTCCCGTGTTTGACGCCATGTTTTATGGTGACCTGGCGGAAGCTAAGGAAATATATAAATTCCTGACATTGAACCACCTTCGTTTGATGTTCTTCTCAGGTAGATAAAAATGTTTTTTATTTTTCTTATTTTGTGGTGCGTCTTATTGATCTTAATGATATTTAAACAACCTTTCTCCTTTTCTGTCAGGCCACTCCTACGCAGACATTGAACTTTGTAAAAGCATTATCACAACGGATTTTGAATGATAAATTGTATGGCAAACGTCTTTTAATAAGCTTTTCGTCGTCAACTGTTTTTTATAGTAATATCGTTCGTTTTTAACACATTTATCTTGTTTTACCTTGCACTGACCTAAATAAAATTTCGTTTAGTAGCTAGGAAAAGATTTTTGTTCAATTTATGAAATATATCTCCTACAATATAGTAGGTTTTAAGTCATGAATACATGTAACTAGATTACCAAGACCATAATGCATTTAGAAATAAAATTATATCGACTTTTATCTCTTACACTAATAAATGTTTGACTTTTGTGATTAAAAGTATATGCAAGTATCTTACCCATTTGAGCTCAACCCAAAACGAAATTGATTCCTTTAAGCCAAAGATTAAAATTCACCGTTTAATGATTACTGTATTTGAAAGTTTCATCTTGTTTTATTAAAATTAAAATGCACATATGTATTTATGCAAGCATTCTTTTTTCCCATTAAATTGCAGAATTGTGTATTGTGGCGAAGTAGAGGTAAATAAAGAAACTGTCATCGGGGCGCTCTACGCTGCTGAGAAATACGATATTGAGGCGTTGAAAAAAGCGACGGTATCATACTTAAAACAGAACATAACAACGGAGACTGTTTGTACCTTTTTGGAAAATGCCAAGTTATTTCACTTAGAACGTCTGACTAAAAAATGTATGGAATTTATAAAGTGCTCAATCATTTTACAATTACCGATTTCCTTACAGATAAGTAAGGACACCTTAATGGAAATTTTATCCTCAAACAACCTAGAAATTGAGAAGTTGAAAGTTTACCATTTTCTGATAAGTTGGGGTGAAGGTGAGTGTGAGGTCAAAGGTCATAAGAAGTCGGATGAAAATATCAGAAATCAGATAGGAGACGCCTTGTATCAAGTCTGTTTCCAGTTCATGGATCTAGATACATTTGTTAAAAACGTTTGCAAACGCAACATACTTACTTCAGATGACAAATTAATTTTACAGCAAGTGATTGTTGGTAACATGGAGAAAGAAAGCACCAAATTCACTCTCGGAAAACGGAAACCTGCACTGAAGACCTATAACGTTATACGTAGAAGTAGCCCCCTTAAAGGTTCGTATTCCGAATAAAAGACGTACAGGACATCGTCAGGATATTGTTGCAGCATTACATTCTCTCCATGGGGATTTCACGTGAAGAAGGCTTCCTGGCCCTGATACATATAAAATTGATAACATGATTGCAAACTTGATTAAAATAGTAAATATACCTTCACAGAATATAACACAAGGGATATCCAGTTCAATATTGTATTACAATAATCTATACTTTAATTCCCAACAACAAATATAAGCTGTGCGTGACGCTTTAGGGATCATCATGGAACTCTTTATAAACAATTTTTTCTGAACAAGGTTTTCAATTTGATTTTTTCTTCGACATGATGGAGAAAATGATAACTCATTGATATGTATTTAGGTTATACTGTGAACAGTGAAAACAGTGGAGAGGAGTTACAGCAGATATCTAGTCATCTACAGTTGATAACAATCTCCTTATTTATGATAGTTGGCTGTGTCGTTATTCTAATTCCTCTCCTGGTGTATGTTCAGATAGTTGTTTTTATCTCTTTATTTTTTAACTTATTTAAATGAGAAAGAAATTATGCGAAAAAAATTATTTAGACAGATCATGTATTTTTTTTTTATAAAAAAGCAAACAAATAATTTGTTTTAGATGTAACAGCTTATCATGATATTTATAAAATCTATTTATATTTCATAATTACAAGACTACAAAATAATTTGTAGGCGTGAATTGATAAACATTATTAAAGGAAAATGATTGTTAAGTATAACTGAAAAACTTCTCTCATTTTTTAGGTATAACACAATGAAGCGTACCAGAAGAACGGAATTTCCTATCAGTACGTTTTACGTTAATCAAAAACACATAATTTTTTATGTATACCTACGATAGACCAAAAAACTCATTTAAGACAAACAAGATGACTCAAAACACAATCTATTTTAGCTAAAACGACTTTTGGACTTTTGAGATCTTTACGTATCCCATTAGTTGGAGAACGTTCTTCACAGATCGTAAATCTGTTGTACTAAACGATAAAAAAGTACCTTAAATCTGTGTACTAATTCTAATATCTTAATTGTAATATTTGAAGATTAAGTAACATTTCTGTTTACATTCCTGAGCAGGATTAAAACAGGTGTGCACACACAACATGAATACTCTTCATTTTGCCGGAACATTGGACCGAGGATATACTCCTCTGTCTCACAGAGAACGTCGGGTTAGGAGTGGACGAACGTCCGACTACAGTACGCCACAAAATCTTGATTTGGAATAATTTACAAACTCTCGCTAATGTGATGCAATGAATACCTGACATGGAAAAACTAGTATATATCATTGGACACACTATGACTTAAAATACGTGGCTCAAATACTGTTCTCCTTTGTATTGTCTGGAAGTCATTCTCTCTGAACACTGCACCGTTTAAGACTATTCTTAATCTGAAATCCTATAAAATATAAATTTTGATTATTTGATATTTGCTGTACTTCCCTTGAGAGCATGAGAAATCACCAAATACAGGTATATTTTAATATTTCGACTAAGGCTGCATTTAGCAGTGGACAAGTTTATTTGTGACATCGCTCAGATTGATATATTACCAGAAAAAAACTTAGATAGTTGTTCAGCAACAAAACTGTATGATAATTGTGAGGACTTCAATTTTTCTTTCGTCAATTGTCCTTCCATGTGTAGTTTTATGCCATAATCATCTGTATATTTGATTTTTTGATATATTTCCCAGTAAACATTTTAACAATATATATTTATGAAATTCCGACGCCAGTTGAAGGATCGGGGTTCCCTATATGTAGGACCTTTTAAAATAAGTGATCTAAGGTCTGCATTACGAACTATATTTACGTCACCTGTAATAACGTGTCCAGCAGGACTATAGTTATAGGGCGAAGAAGAACATGAACACGAAGGAGGATTATGTTTCAGATAGTATGATATCTGGTACGCTTATGATAATAAAAATATCTGAATTTTATATAACTTCACTCACTGTACACGGAAATCATATATATATATATATATATATATATATATATATATATATATATATATATATATATATATATATATATATATATATATATATATATATATATATATATAATACGGTTTGTCCATAATAAATCATATAAATAAAATATGGTTTTGTCTCGTATCTTCCTCTTATATGATAACAAGGACGTAACAAGTATAAGAGGAAGAGGGCAATTTGTTTACATATCGAGCTGAAAACTCAGGTTTTGAAAAGAGCAAATTCTTGTTTTCTAGCAAAGCTATTTTTATCTGCGTAATGATACACACTTTGAAAATCATTTCTTATCAGTTTGAATTATATAAACAGTAACGGACATAAACAATGGTCAAACCCATAAATCCCATAAATCTACTGAAATAATCATGGACTCCTGAAATACCAGAGGTGAAATCAATTTGCAAGTACCAGAAAGGAGCTAGTAGCCTAAGAAAACACATGGTTCTTTATTCTAAACATGAATTTTACATTGAATTTAATCTAAATACAATTTACATGTATACTGTCTGTTGCAGCGTGCTTTAATTATCTGAAAATAATGATATGAAATTGTATTTCTTCCTTTCCTTATGATTGAGATTTTTTCCGTTAAATCATCAATATAACTTGAGTCTAATTTGAATGAAATACAAGTAAAAGAGTACTGCAATTTCATAAAAAAAATATTTCGATGCATTTTAAGAATATATTTCCTATTTCTCAATCAGGTTACAATCACCGTGATTATTCCTTTCAGTCCTTGAGTCTAATTTGAATGAAATACAAGTAAAAGTGTACTGTAATATTTCGGAAAATTCAGGTTTTGAAAAGAGCAAATTCATGTTTTCTAGCAAAGCTATTTTTATCTGCGTAATGATACACACTTTGAAAATCATTTCTTATCAGTTTGAATTATATAAGCAGTAACAGACATAAACAATGGTCAAACCCATAAATCCCATAAATCTACTGAAATAATCATGGACTCCTGAAATACCAGAGGTGATTTCAATTTGCTATTACCAGAAAAGAGTTGGTATCCTAAGAAAACACATGGTTCTTTATTCTAATAAAACATGAATTTTACATTGAATTTAATCTAAATACAATTTACATGTATATTGTCTGTTGCAGCGTGCTTTAATTATCTGAAAATAATGATATGAAATTGTATTTCTTCCTTTCCTTTTGATTGAGATATTTTCCGTTAAATAATCAATATAACTTGAGTCTAATTTGAATGAAATACAAGTAAGAGAGTACTGCACTTTCATAAAAAAATATTTCGATGCATTTGAAGAATATATTTCCTATTTCTCAATCAGGTTACAATCGCCGTGATTATTTCCTTTTATTTGAGCAGTTTTCAAAAACTGGGTCTGGATTGAATATTACATTTCAATAGTAACATAATTATTTTTTTTTTCATAGAAATGAAACGAATAATGTGTAAAGCAGCTCTTACAAAATTGTGCTTTGTAATATCTCTACTATCAAACAACTGTGGAACATCAGCTGCTTTAAAGTGGTAAGAATACACTTATTCCTTTCAGTCCTTAATTGTGATTGAGTTTCTTAGAATTGCATATAGTTTAAAACGGATATATCTTATATCTTTTAGGGAAGGATATGAAGATAACGAACAGTATTCATTCTCAAAGTCCACAAAACAATACATAATAGGAGCAGAGCAAACACGGACCTCTGAAACATCAGAGGTGGTATCTGGTGCAATGAAGGAGTAAGCATCACCTACTGATTGGGCACATCCTTTTTGTCATGATCAGGAAATAACGGAAAAATCCCTAGTAAATCCAGTGTATAAATAATCGACTAACAATTAGTATGAAAAACGCCAGTCATCATTTGACTCAATAATAAATTAAATTTGTTGTAAAGGTCACTATATCGACCATAGAACTTACGAAATGATGACTTTAAACGTGACTGCTGTTATTCTTGCTCATCAACTTGCCTGTCAATAATTTACCTCGTTTTAGGGACAATATCATATGTGATTGCAATTATAATGATAATATCTCTTGTCGAGTAAATGTCATGTGTGATTACAATAGACCCTATCAAGGTTATTGGCCGCCATCTTGGACTGGGGGCAAACATTGGGGGCTGACGTCATAATAACAATGGCTGAATCGAGCTCCGCAGCTGACGATGCTGCGAATATAATCGCCGCGTATAATTTACCTGCGTCGTAACAAGTGTACCTAGGTGTGCAGAAGAGACCCCAAGGTAATGTTTTTTAACTATAAACAATTATTTTAGCTCTGATTTACACTTTAATGACGTAAGTTACATATTTACTCAAGGTTGTCAGAACCACGTGGCCCACGGAAACGCTTCCTGTACTTTGGAGGTCGGTCATGTTTTGCATTGCCCTGGCTATATGCGGCATATTTCAGCACTGTAATTTTTGTGGTATTAGGTGGAGATGATTTGGATGCTAGGCAATTTTTTTTCGAAAGCCTGGAACAAAATTTCAATTTTTTATAGAGCTTTGAAATCGGCCAAAGGGGAGTGAGATATCGAAAAAATATATTACATCGTTAAAAGATGAGTTCTAATTAACAATATCCAAGATTGAACATTATTTTGAATTAATATAATTAATATAGTATGAATAAATCATATTTTGTATATTATATATATAAATTAAGTGTTATTAATTCATTGCATTTGCACCTTCACTGCACTTCACTAGTTACAAGTCATTCACAGTTCAGTATTGGCATTGTTTATACAGATAACTCTTGCAAGTATATACATGTACAAAGGGGTCAACTTCAAGAAATATATTTTTTTTTATTTTTATTTATTTATTCAATTTGACAAAAACCACATGTGGCGCAAGTCATACATACAGTAAACAAATATAAAATATATAGTCACATAGATTTTCTTTTATTACATGCATCACGTATGAAGTTACAAATATTCCTTGTAGAATTAACATCTGCTGGATTAAGAATTTCATATGATATACAGGTTTTATTAAAAAGTGTACAAAATTCACTTCTTAGTTGTTTATATAGAGGACATACAAATAAAAAATGATGTTCATCTTCAACGACATTTTTACAATTAATACAAAATCTTTCATCTCTTGGTATAATTGGGTTACAATATCTGCCAACCTCTATCTGTAATTTGTGAGCACTTATTCTCAATCGAGTCAAAAAAGAACGAAGATTCTTGGAAATGGAAAAATTTAAGTATGGTTGAATTTCAAGTTTGTTTAGATCCCTTGACTTATTAACTGGCTGTAGAATGATAATTTGCCATTACCCTTTTCTCTGATATTTATTATATCCTTAAAAACTATGTTCTCAAAATATTTTTTCAAATTATTTTCAAAATCATTTATTGATAATGTATTAGCATTTGAACCAATAACTTCATCAAGTATAGTTTGTATACAGTTATGCCAACAAATATATGAAAGATATAAAGACACCTTGAAAAAGTATTTTTCCCCATGAAAATATTTTTTATCATCACTGCAATTTTGAATACTTTAAATTATAATTAAGAATATTGCTAGCTATTTACACAAAACTTTAATTTTTAAAATTGAGTGAGATTTATATATATTTTAAAATACGCTGTACATAAATATAGCAAATATTTTACATGCATAAAACAAGGTATGATTATCTTCAAATTCATGTTCAGTCAATTAAATAAGGAGAAATAAAATAAATTGAAAAAAAGAAATAAAAGGAAACAAAAGGGATTTTAATATTGAATCATGTAGTTATACCAGAAAAAATATCCATGATGCATGCATATGAATCAAAATTGTGCAATTTTACACAATTTAATATTATTGTAGAAGAGAAGATATCCTAGAAACACCTGAAGGCGTGTCTCATTCTCGGAGTCAGAGTTAAAGACACAGGATATGACATGGCAGGATGCAGCTAAAGCAGCTCTGAATCGAGTTCGTTGGAGGACTGTCATCAATGGCCTATGTTCCTCAGAGAAGGACAGGCCGAAGTAAGTACATGAACTAAGTAGCAGGTACATGTCATTTTGCTTTCAAATTTGTTATTTGAATTTTAACCAAACAAAATAGTTTTGAAATTAATTAAAAGTAAATCCCTGTGTAAATACTTGTATTTCATTAAAAAAAAAGAATATAAAGATTTGAGAATAAAAATGTTGCATTTTTTGTTCAATCTGTTATAAAAAGCCCATGAAATTGGATAAAAAAAGGAGATAAATATAGTTGCATTGTGACATAATACATGTACCACCAAATTACAAGCATGAATAATTGGCATTATGCTAAAGATCTTCATTATTACAAAGGAAATTTTTATTTTGTAAATCCTTAGTTTTAAGAAATGAATATTTAGAATATATGAATCTTACTTAACAGCAATGATTTTATCAATTATCAAAGATATTTCATTAGGAAATTATCAAGTTTTTATAATTGTGTATGTACCTATCTATTTTTTTTCAGAAGAGTGCTCTTTTAACACTGCATGGAAATATAAACAGTATATGCCTCAAGTAAGTTTTATCTCTTCATATTTCAAATTTAGGCCATTCCAAGTTTTTTCTCTGTTTAGCGTCCAGCCATCTTTCAAAAACCTACCTACCAATTCGCAAAAAAACACACAAACCAAAACATAAAACACAGGCTTAAAAGTCATAAAAATGACGTCCTTCATATGATTTGATCTAACTAAACTGCTTAAGTAAGTAAGTAAGTAAATATTTTATTATAGTGACATGTGTATACAGTAATTTTTAACATTCGATATACAATTAAACATATATGTGGAACACCCGGCCCATCGGACCTATAAGTCACTTTTAGCAATAGATATACAATAATTACATGCGTGTGATTTTTCTTTGTCTTATATTATAGGCTTTATAAATAAAATTTGCAGATTGACGAGGGAAATGAGTTAACAAATATTTAAAGAGAACATTTAAATCATTATAATGTAAATTTTAAATTCCAACATTTCTTAGAAAGTCTTGTCTACAGATTTTATATAGATTGCATTTTAAAAGATAAATACATTTTAAATAGAAGAAATAACTATTCTTAAGTAAAAACGAGAGATTAAATGCTTAAAATACACCCAGTATAACTTACTGTACAGAATTATTTGGAAAAATTGACAAAATTCAAAAATTTTGACTAAATTAATCAATTTCAGGACTCCTGATGTTGTGTGTTTTTTCTTATATGGGGTGTCAAAAACCAAGGCGCATGCGGACGCTAAACATAGAAAAAACTTGGAATGGCCTTAAAGGAGGTCAAGTTGTTTTGCTTTATTGCAACTTTTGCTTTGAAATGCAATTATGTTGAATGATTGATTGACTCTTCTTGAGAAAGAGGTCGAGAAATGTGTGAAAGGAGCTGCAGTTTTTGAAACTGTTTTATAAATCAATTAAGGCTATTTGCAATGATTTGAAACCACTTGTAGATTCAAAATGCATTCAAAATGTATAAAATTTATATTATAACCATTTTACAAATTAAATTATACTTAATTATCAAAATTGATAGTCTCTGTGCTATTTCTGTTGTAACAGATTTCTTTCTGATAAAATCATAGATACTAAACTCTGAAGAATAATGGCCCTACTCCTTTGAAATGTATAATCTCCTCATTACAGATTTTGAAGAATCCTAAATTCAAATCCAGACTGTGGCAGCCCTACTTGTAGCTGTTGGACTCGTATGGGATAACGATAATCAAAAGTCACGATATCAACACATGGATTTTATCTCATTTTGACGAAATGTAGAGAAATGACATACAGTCTGTTTTGTGATAGAAACTAAAATAGAGAGGGCTTTACATTGTCCTTTAGAATTTGCTAGGAATTTTTTTTTAATGAACTTTAAATTACTGCTCATGTACATATTTTTGTTGAAAGATAAAGTGTACTTATTTACACCAATACAATGATCAGCTTCAACTAAATATCAAAGATTAACATTTGCCATGGATATTTTGATGTTACCAATTTGACCAAGATGTTTGCAGAAAAATCAAATGCATGTTTTCTTTCAAAGTTGTTACAATAAGAGCTATTAATAAAAGGAAAAAAAAACATTTCACATGATATTAAAACTTGTATTTTTATTACAGCTTGAAAAAATACATGTAATAATCATGATAAATAATAAATTTGTACATGTATGTAAAATTGTTTGCAATTGAGAATACTTGAACTCTCTTTAGCACTTGATCCTTGGGATGTCATGTGCTATATAGGAATGTGATTTACCCAGCACATTTTAAAATTAAGCTCCTTAGATCTAGCTGCAGGTCTGTTGAAGAAATTTCAGGGTGATGAAGGAAGGGGGGTTCAACTTAAAAGTAATGTTTTGACAAGCAAAAACAATGTTCATATTAATAATTTGGGGGACAAGGCAACTGTATAGATAAGATTTTTGTATTGTGTGATGTGCACCGGTATATACTATAGTATTGTATCCATTGGATTTTATTACTGAGAGGTACAAAGTAACACTCCAATCCACATACAGTAAAACTCGGCTATAACGAAGTCACTGGGACCCGGAAAATTACTTTACTTTAACCATTATTTGTTCTTTCCGTATAAAGAATTTGTTAAATTTGTGTACTTTGGGATCCAAGATAACTTCGCTTTATCCGTGAATTCGCAATATCCGTGTTCCAACTAAACAAGTTTTACTGTACACATATGGTTTCTTTCATGTTTGCTTCCTTTCTTAACATTATACAGTGATCCATTAACGAGTGAATCAAAGAATCTAATTTTACTACATTTGTAATTTTTTTTCATACATACAGTTTTTTAGGGGAGGGGAGATTAGGATTGTTGTACAATGATCATACAGAGAGGAAATATAGGAATTCCTTGTTTTCCGCTGAAAGCAAATTTTTCACTTATTGTCGGACTGATTGATGAAGATACTATATTAATTTTCTTGTTATTTTTTTTCTTTAATCATAAACTTGAAGATAGTTTGACTGTATATTTAAGATGAATATGCTTAAAATGAAACAAGAGGATACCTGCTTAAATTTTTCATGAGGAATATGAGCCAGATATTTGGTCTACAGTACTTCTGTGATCTTTCTCTCCATTGAATTATATATTTCCGCAGCTGGAGAATCACTGAGATTTCGAATACCATTTATATATAATTAATGAAAATAAACATATAAAGATGTATAAATTCTATTTTTATACCCCATCCGAAAGAGAGGAGGAACACCGATGACCGTTTTACTTGTGTGTCACTCAGTCAGTCTGTCTGTCCAAAACAAATTTATGATTTCAGTTTTCTCAGCAACTACTCATCAAAGATGCTTGAATGTTAAGCACATTCTTAGCTGAGGCATGCAATTTGGTGGGATTTCCATTTTGTATGAATCGGATGTCAACTTCCTATTTATCCGTGCATCTGCCTGTAAGGCTGTAACTGTACTTGCATGAGTTTATTAATATAATAGTGTTTATTCACATCAGAGCAGGGGTATAACTAGTGAGCATTGGCTCACAGACTTCTTGTTAGATGTGCATGAATTAGAAAAAAAAGTCGGATTGTATTGTTACAAAAATATACACAAGTGATGGATGAAATATCATATCAACAAAATGAAGTACTAAACAAAGGAAAGGTCTTCAATACATGTGTACATGTATTTGGATTCTTGTATCATCTTGAATGTGGTAAACTAACATTTTTTTTTGTATTTTAATAAAAGTTTATGATGAAATTTAAATCAAAAGATCACCAGGTATTGAACCAGAGACTTTGCATCACTAGTCAGAAGCTAATAACTGTTGAAGTACTATTAATGCCATTACACAGTCTAAATCTTGTATAGCTTTAAAAGTCCTAAAAATTGTAAAAGCATTGAAATCCTTACTTAAATAATTTTAAAGCTAAGCAGAATTTTACACATGTGACACAGACAATTTTTTAATTATGATTAAAATTATTTTTTAAAAATTACTGTTTAAATAAATTTGTATAATTATTTACTTTGAAGTTGCAATATTTTGACATTGGTATACACATGCATGCAACATATTTTTAAATCATAGTGTTATTTAACACATACTTAATATTTTTATCTTATTTTTTTTTTTGAATTTAATTAATTAAAACCTATTGAAAGTTGTCTAAAAAAAAAATCATTTTTTAAGTATGTTGGTCTATATGTCTATTTACAGATATTTTTATGAGCTTTTATTCATTCAGTACTTCTCAATATTCTCTGTTGGATCCGCCCACGTTACTCGTTGGTAGTATAGATATAAAAGAAATTAAATTGAAAAAAAACATCCAAGTAAAAGATAAAATTTATATGAGTGATTCTTAAACCTTCTTCTGTTTTTATTTCCACAAATATTTCATGCTTAAACTGTTACAAGAGGATAGATAGTAACGTAACATAAGCACTCCATCTCGCACTTTTTACATGATCATGATTGCACGTTGTAATATATATGCAGTTCATTTAAGGTAAATAAACAGCAATTATTAAAGAAAATGATCTTTTTTAAAATAAAATATGTTGCTTACGATATGCATACGTTCAATTCTAAATGACAATGACTGTGAAGCGATCGCTAGACGAAAATTGATGCGGTGCATCTGCATCAGCTGCTATTGTTTACGTTAGCTACGATGTCGCGTGATGCCCCCAATCCAAGATGGCGTCCAATAACCTTGAAAAGGTCTATTATAATAATATCTCTTGTAGGGACAATATCATATGTGATTACAATTATTATTTTGATAAACATAGTGACAGCTGTTTAGGTAAGCAGGCAGTCTTCGTTAACAAAAATTCTCTGATATCTTTAATTAAGTGCGTTATTACTTTTTGAAGAGGTTTAAATAATTATAATTATTTTGGAAATTTAAAAATTGAAACAATTTTTAAAAAAACGCGTATTGTGAATCTTAAAACACATTTTAGAACAGTTGTTTCATTTCAGATTCATTGTGTTATTCTTTCATTTTATATAGAGTGTCCATTGGGAAGATTTGGTTTGAACTGCATACAACGATGCACATTAGGTTTCTATGGCCGTCTTTGCACTAGTCCCTGCGGTTGTGAAGGGTACGTATGCCATTATGTAAATGGGTGTCCAAAAGGTGTAACACATACCAGTATTATTTTCTCTATATCATAAATACAAATTTGCTAATTCAAATTTGAAGATTTTATCTGTTTAAAGCAATCCAATATATGCCTCATTTTTCTTCATTTGAAAATGACTAATAAACTACAGATACAAAAATTACCCACAGCAAAAACAAACCTTCTGCAATAAATACAAATTTAACATCTTTGCAAGACTTACAGATACAACAGAGGTGAAAAAAAAACGGATAACAGGAGTAACCGAAGATACTAGGGCATCTTCACAAAAAAGTAAGCAAACTAGCGAAGAATTAATGTTCTAAAAAAAATTTGAAAAAAATTATCTATTGTCAAAACACGGTAAACTACAAAAATAAATCATGTTATCAAATATATGTAATGTGCTTATGTATTTTATTTGCACATATTTCGTTTGTTTTAAAGTAACCAATGTTTTCTCTTTCAATGAATGATATTTGTTTTGAAAAAGAGTCTGCTTGGAATGTTTTTAACAAACCAAAAATTAAATCATCTACAAAATCTTCCAATCCATCATTTCGTAGACAATTAAGTAAACCAAACTAAGGATGCTATAAACGATGACGCACTGCAGTTTCAGTCATTTTCAAAGTGAATAAGTTTTCTAACTGATTTTCATGATTCTGTTCACTTATTGACAATATTTTAAATGATATATGGTGAAAAAGGTTTTCTTTTATTTCAGAATTTTCTATACAGACAACACTATATGCGTTCCCCAGAGAACAATACGTCCAAAGAACAACCAAGTCTAAAAGTACAAAATGGCCAATATAATTCAAAGAATCCAGCAAAATGACATTCCATTTGGGGTTATCTACTTCAGAGAAAACTGACCACGTGACTGAAATATCTACATCAGAGAAAATGAACCGCGTGAGTGGAGAGAGGATTTTCCACGTGACTGGGAAATCATCATAGGAGAAAACTTACCAATGGACCAGGAGATCTACATCAACAACAGAATCATCAACAATTACAAACCAAAATGATCATTCAATGTTGGCTTTTTTACTTTTAATTGTTTTTATAGCAATATTTTTTTCGGGGGAGTTTTGTTTTACTTGCGACCATCACTTAGGTGAGCACTTTTATCCTTTTATATGTCAAATCAACTTTGTGGTGTATTTTATAATAAAGATTTTTCTCAACAGCTCTTAAACAACCTGTCTTTTCGCCTAGATGCAGGTGAAAACTATCCAACCCTTGTCATTGGACATACGAATATTTTGGTAAATCAACATTTCATTCTCATTTGAGTATAAATATTGGTAAGCAAAACGCTTAAACAGTTTATTATTCTGACAATTGTAAAAAAAAACATAAAAAAGAAAAATTAACATGCATATCAATTATTAAAAAAAAAATTGGGGGAAAATGCTTCAAGAGAAAAAAGTAATCATTTTCAAAATTATTTCAATTTATTAAAAAAAAGATCATACAAGTGATACCATCAAACAAAACTACGAAAGTGCAGAGGACACACACACTTCAGCGAATCATTTAGAAAAATTAGAAGACTATGATGAAATCAGTCATGATCAACACAGAAGCAGTAGTGCTGGATCTAGCCCATCTTTGATTATAAGAAAACTAAAAGGTGCGTCGGATGATATGTATCTGCCTTCATATAGCCTGTATGAAAAAATCTCCTTCCATGGCGACTCTCACATGTTACAATTCGATAAAGAACAAAGCATTGCGGATCCTGATATTTTTTGGCTACAAGAATTATGTAATAATGAGGGGTGTGCCTTTCTGAAATCCAGCAGTTCTTTAGATTTCTCCGTAATAGACGAAGTTCCAAAATTTCAAAACCATTTTCCTCTTTTGCATACACAAGTAATTGGGAACGAACTATGGATTCTTCAAATAATCTGTTCGAAAAATCCAACAACGATACTTTATTGATTAAAGAGGATTCTCTCTATGGTGAAACCCTTGAAAAGGCAGATAGACCATACAGTGTTGTAAAGACTAGAATGTCAGAAGAGTTACTTAGAAATTGTCGTTTTCCAGACGAATACAAACAAAAATCTCGAATAGAAACAACAAAACTCTGACATAGAGAACATGGTGTACCATACAGAATAAGGTTAATGATACGCTTTTGCACACTATGAATGCATATTTATAGGGGGGTTGGGGTTGGTTGGTTGGTTTGTTGGTTATTATGTCCTAAAATGGACCATATTTGTACCATGAATAATACTTGTGTTTTAACACTACAAGTTATATAATTTTTGTTTTAATTTCAAGACATGCTCTAAATTATAGAAAATGATACTTTTTCAAGTGATACTAATATTGTATTCTCTGATGGGAAAGTTGAAAGCTTGTTCGAACGGCCCTTTATGCATGACAGCATAAATAACAATTACTCTTTTGCTAAAGTATTCATATTTTTTTTCTGAAATATTCTGAGGTAAGAGGAACCCGAATTTCTTTTTTCTTAATTCATTCTAATGATCATAAAAACTGTCACTTACATAATATGATGAAATCTAGAAAAAGTTACAACTGTAATACTGTAGGTCATCATATTCTGGAGAAATCTTGATAATTCATTTAAATAAATAACATATGGATCACTCTAGACGAAACATAATGAAAATCAATTATTCATGAAACCTCTCACTATATAATTTCAAAAGAAACATGCAATAACTTATAAAATGTTTTCAATCAAAAGTTCTTTTTAGTTATTTTTACTTTAAACTTTTAAACGTTTGACTTTTCCCGGAAAGAATTTTTGAAAAATGTCTATTTAAAGCGCATTTTTTTCCTTGTAGAGATATTCCCTGGTAGACCTTATAAAATACGGCAGTTATACTGCATAGTTAAACTAATTTTTTAAAATCATTTTATAATTTTCTTTTCTAAAATAACATTTTTCTTTTAATCTTTGAGGAAAAAAAAACGAAAATGAAATCGAAATATGAGATAATTTTAGCATTGTTGAATATTTTTATTAATACTGCTACCTGCAGTACTGAGTGCCGAAGGTGAGTGGATTTTTATTTTAGAGCTGTACGACGTTTTTAATTAATATATTATCTGAATATCCGAATCTCATTTGACGTTAAATAAACAAAGATAAAATTTCTTAAAGTGGTTAACATTGATAGAATATGTTCTTTTATGTTCCATGATACTCTTATATTTTCGTGTCAACTTATTCGAATTTATATTTTAGACCGGATGGTGTCCCTTGTTGCTATAATGAATATTTTGACGTTGACAATAAAACTTATAAAGGTAAGGTTTATTCATGAAAATATAGAAAGGTAATGAACAAAATTCGAGCTCAAAACTCCACAAGAAAAAAAAAAACAGTTTTTGAGCAGAGCAAACATGGACAGAGTTTGGATCAGATGCCATGGAAAAGTTTTCATATCATGTCCACCGGTCACAACCGCCGTACGCTCCTTCTCGTGATCGGGAAATAACTGAAAATTTCATTGACAATTATGTGGATAAACATTTGCCTAACACTTAGTATATAAATCATAGTCAGCGTTTGACTTAATGCTAAATTGTTATAGTTGAAGACGTATTGAAAAAAAATTCACTTAAGGTTTGCAGTAAAAAAGAATCTGCTGTACGTATGAACAATTTCTAAAACGAGGTAAATTATTCACAAGCAAGAATATAAGCGGCCTCGTTTAAAGGCATCATTTCGTAAGTTCTATGGTCGATAGAATGACATTGTAGGCAAATACAATTTGTCATTCAGTTAAATGCTGACTGACCTTTTCATACTAATTGTTAGTCCATTATTTATACACTGGATTGACGACAGATTGTTCCGTTATTTCAAGATAATGACAAGGAACCACGGCTAGTGTGACCGGTCAGCAGGGGATGCTCACTGCCCCAAGGCACCTGATCACATCTCTGATGTTTCGGGGGTCCGTGTTTGCTCTGCTCCTATTTTGTATTGTTTTATGGACTTTGATATTGAATTCTGTTCGTTATCTCCATATACTTCATTGAATTCTTTGATTATTCCCTTCATGGTATTTTAATCATGTTTAGAATGCAGCAGATCATAAGCATGGTAGATATTACCCGAAAATTTTAAATATCCTTTAACACACAGTTATTAAGGATATCTCTTCAATACATGAGATTTGCCTCCACAAAATTACATTTAAACTATAGTTTTCTTTGAATAACACTAGAAAATACGAAGATATCAGCAGTAACAGAGAAGCATAAAACAATCAACGAGAGAACCAAACTAAGAGTAAACACAAGCACAGGTCTGTCAGTCTGTTAGTCTGTGTCTCTCTCTGTCTCCATCTCTATCTATGATCTCTTTCGTATTATTGTCACCCCTTTCAGTTAATTATTCGTATGTTATTGTTCGAAAGAAATTCATTGTTTTGTTTGCCCACATAAAATATATGGAGATACATTCCCTAATGTAATCTATAATATCGTGACTGCTTTAGTTGATATTTTTTAACATCACCGATTACTTTAAATTATTACTTCTTATTATTACTTTTAGCCCCCAAAGTGTTCAAGTTGGAGAAAATCAGTCACTTTATTTCAATCGATTCAACAAAAACTAGGTCACGTGTGTCTACAATAGACAAGTCAACCCTAGGATCCTCGACTATGAAGATGTATGATTTATTATTGCTTAAAATATTTAGATATTTCAAAGTTACAAAGTTGTTGTAAAAACATAACAGTAACAGTATAAAGTTTTAAACTTATCGCCATATTAGTTCATAACATAAATATTTTGAATTCATAGGTCTTCGGTGAAAGGGACAACAGATCATAAGCATGGTAAATATTACCCGAAAATTTTAAATATCCTTTAACACACAATTACTTAGGATATCTCTTCAATACATGAGATTTGCCTCCACAGAATTATATTTAAAATATAGTTTTCTTTGAATAACACTAGAAAATACGAAGATGTCAGCAGTAACAGAGAAGCATAAAACAATCAACGAGAGAACCAAACTTAGAGTAAACACAAGGAGAGGTCTGTCAGTCTGTTAGTCTGTGTTTCTCTCTGTCTTCATCTTATCCATGATCTCTTTCGTATTATTGTCACCCCTTTCAGTTATTCATACGTAAAATCATATAAGTCGCATTCCTATGACAGAATCAAAAGTTATCATCTTATCCATGGATGTAACGTCTTGGCCACATGTTTCAGAAGAAAATCCAAAACGTACGTATAATGATTTTAAGTAACAAAAATCATTGCAAAATAGAAACAAAATTATTTTTTCAACACCTATATTTTGGTTGAAATTTAATTATTATAACAGCATATAAAACTCAAAAAAGGTTTTCCTTCTTTTTTCAATTAAACTATATATTTTATTTGCTGTAAAACTTTTAGTCCTTTGACAATAAAGACAACCTATTAAATTTGCATTGAAAAAAAACGTTGATAATGATAACTCATTGATATTTATTTAGGTTATACTGTGAACAGTGAAAACAGTGGAAAGGAGTTACAGCAGATATCTAGTCATCTACAGTTGATAACCATCTCCTTATTTATGATATTTGGCTGTGTCGTCATTCTAATTCCTCTCCTGGTGTATGTTCAGATAGTTGTTTTTATCTCTTAATTCTTATTTTTTTTTTAAATGGAGAAAGAAATAATGCGAAAAAAGTTATTTTTTCAGATCATGTATTCTTTTATAAAAAAGGAAAAAAATACTTTGTTTTAATAGCTTACTATGTTATTTATATAATCTATTTATATTTCATAATTACAAGACCACAAAATTATTTGTAGGCATGAATTGCTAAAAATTATTAAAGGAAAATGAATGTAAAGTATTATTGAAAACATTCCTCTCGTTTTTGAGGTATTACACAAAGAAGCGTAACAGAAGAACAGAATTTCCTATCGGTATGTTTTAAATTCAAAAGCACATATGTATGCAAAAGATAGACCAAATTTATAACCTCATCCTAGAAACTTTATCCCACATTAGATGACTCCAAATTTTGTTAATAAGACTTGTGAGATTTGATCTTTAATTATTACTGAAGTTAGATAATGTTTATTAAATATTGTAACTGATTTTTTAATAAAAGATGAAAAATACTTTCTATATCTTGGACTTATTTATCAAATCTTAATTGTACTATTGAAAATAAGAAATTGTAAAAAGTTTCTTTTGTATTTTTGTGTAGGATTAAAGCAGGTGTGCACACACAACATGAATGCTCTTCATCTTACCGGAACAATGGAGCGAGGGTATACTCCACTGTCACACCGGGAACGTCGGCTTAGGAGTGGGCGACAGTCTGACTACAGTACCCCACAAAGGAATGGGAGACAGTCCGACTACAGTACACCACAAAATCTTGAACAATATACAAACTCTCTCTAATCTGATGCTATAAATATCCGACATGAAAAAACTAGCATATATTAATGGACATAATATGACTTAAAATACGTGGCTCAAATATTAGTCTCCTTGGCATGGTCTGGAAGTCATTCTTTCTGAACACTGCACCATTTATAACTATTCTTAATCTGAAATCCTATAAAATATAAATTCTGATTGATATTTGGTGAACTTCCCATGAGAGCATGAGAAATCACCAAACTCGGGTAAAGTTTTATATTTAGACTAAGGTTGCAATTAGCAGTAGAGATGTTTAATTGTTACATCGCTCACATTGATATATTACCAGAAAAACGTTAATAGTTGTTCAGCAGCAAAAACTGTATGATAATCGTGAGGACCTCAATTTCATTCGTCAAATTTCCTTCATATGTAGTTATATGCCATAATCATCTGTATATTTGATTTTATCTCCCAGATAACACAAAAAAATAAGCATGTTCTTCACACAAACATTTTTTAAACGAGATAAGCTCTTTAAAAACATGTTGTTTAAAGTCATCATTTCACAAGATCTATGGTCAAAAGAATGACATTTTTAGCAAATATAATATATCATCAGTTGAATGCTGACTTGGCTTTTTTAAGCTGTTAGAGCATTGTATAAATACTGACTTTCCTTTTGCCAATTCATGAATTGGAGCATACGGCAGGTGTGATCAGCTGGCAGGAGATGCGTAGCATCCATTGCACCTGGTTCAATCTCTAATGATAATGAGGCGATTGTTTGCTCTGCTCTCGAATCTGTACTGTCCCAATGGTCTTTAGAGCTTGGATACCGTTCTTTATCACCATACTTTATCTATGATACTTTAACACAGTTGAAAATTCTGTGTGTCCCTAAATTTGGACTTTTCAAGAAATAAACAACACATTAAAAAGTTTTTTTTTTGTGAAATGAATTTTAAATTGCTCACGTGATCAAATCCTGTGATGCTCTTAGGGTTCTCGTACCAGCTAAAGGTTAATTTCCCAGTAAACATTTTAACATTGTTGTTTATTACTTATATTTACATTTGAGATGAATAAATTTCGATTAACACAGCATTTATTACACGAACGGGCATTAAAAAAAGATACAAAAGAGTCTGACACATCGGTTTCATACTTGGATCTTTTACTTGAAAAAGACCTTATAGTAATCTTACAATCAAGCTATATGATAAATGTGATGACTTTAACTTTTCTATCGTAAATTTTCCTTACTTATGCAGCAATATACCTTCATCACCTGAATACGCTATGTATATATCTCAGATGATTCGATACACAAGAGCTTTGTTTACGTATGAACAATTTCTAAAACGAGGTAAATTATTGACAAGCAAGTTGATGAAACTAGAATATCAACAGACTCCTTTGAAGTCATTATTTAGTACGTTCTGTGGTGATACAATGACCTTATCAGCAAATACAGTTTATCATTGAGTCAAATGCTGACTGACGTTTTTCATACTAATTGTTAGTCCATTATTTATACAATGTACACTGATTTACAAGGGATTTTCCGTTATTTCCTGATCATGACAAGGAGCACACGGCGGGTGTGACAGGTCAGCAGGGGATGCTCACTCCTCCGTGGCACCCGATCCCACATCTGATGTTTCGGAGGTCCGTATTTGCTCTGCTCCTATTTTGTATTGTTTTATTGACTTTGAGATTGAATACTGTTCGTTATCTCCATATCCTTCTTCTATCATAATGGTCATTTAGAAAATATTTTGTGTTTTTAGTGAAACCAGTTTTTATAATTTGATAATTAAAGATGCTAACTACAGAAAAACGCGTGCGGCAATGTACAAATTTATTGTTTATAAGCTCCGTCACAGAACATTGGTTTTCATCGACATATCCGTTATATTTGATTTTCTTTCTACAACTGTTGAGAAGACTTATTTGTTGTAATAATTTAAAAATGTCTCATCATTCTATAAAGTAGTTTAAATAAATACATTTATTAAAGTGAACACTTAGAACTTTTAAGTGTATGTAATATAAAACAGGTGAGGAAAAAAAATAGTGATCGACATCAAAATCTCAACAAATAATACAGGACACTAAACATGGACACAAGTAAATTCCACAGGTGGGATCGAGTTTTGAAGATGAGTAAGCTTTCCCAAAATTATTTATGTAACCTAAAATGAATTTCTGACGTTCATATAATGAGAATCTTAAATCTTAAACTTAAGTACAAGGCTTACTTAGACGTAGGAATTCGTGATAAGTTTAATCACAAAATTATTCTAAAACCATTAGCATTCAAAATGCGCGCCTTCTTAAAATTAACGCAATTGTTTATTCTACCTAATAAATAAACAATAGGCCTTTCAAGTGCCGTTTGGGTTTGCTTTTAGGAACGATAACTCACTGCAGAAACTTGTTTAAAGCGGGCCCGAGGTATCTAACAGTTTACATGCAAGGTAGTTTTTAGCATTTCCTAAGTGTTTGTTTGCTGTCATTTGAATCCAGTGGTTTTAAAATTTAGCTCCAATGTTAAACTTATTTACTGTGTACGAGGGGTGTTAGAAAAGTTCGCGGACAAGTTCTATTGTGAGCGCCCTATTTCCACGAAACTGGTCAAACTTTCCATATATAATCTTGAGCTTTCTTCCAATAAATATACGAGAATTTGGTGCTTTCCGGTATTTATTGAAAAATATACGGCTTTTTCATTTTGATAAATCTTGTTTCACGGAGCATGCTACATTTTGGCACGTTTACATCACAAAGACTCTTTATTAAAATTAAAAATTGCACAATTGTGGTGCCAAGAGAGTTATGATATTTTACCTGCCGCTAAAGTATGCAGGAAACGTCACCAGGAGAAATTTTGAATAAAATTGGATGGTATATGACTGTTTTATAGCCGTTTATAAATGATCAACGCGTAAAAACACAGCCAAAAATCGGAACGTCATTGAGCGTAATGGAGCACTGCACTACTTAAAAATTATGTGTACAGACAGGAAAATGTCTAAAAAGAGATTAAAATGTTCAAGATGCTGCCGGTAATATACTACACATACAAAGAACAAGTTTTCAAATGGTTGTAGCTTCATAAGAATGGAAAGAGTAACATTTTGAATGATTAACTCCATCGATATTTCAATACCCCTCTATCGCATAGACGTTGCATTGCGCCTATATGGTTTTGCATAGTTTCCATACCTGATCGATTGACTGCATAGACTTTTTTTTATTTTTCAAGATCTCGATAATATCCA